TTACGGCAGTGTACCTAGTGCTCCGCTGCGCTGTGTATTTGGTCAACGCCAGCAAGAGCAGGGTGGCACTAAGATTTCTGGCAAAAGCAGAAGAGACAACAAGAACAGAGGCAGGAGAGCCTTGCACGGTTCAGGACGATGATCAGCCTGAAGCAGCAGCTGGTGCTGCTGGGGCCGAGCGAGAGGGAGAAGTTCTTCTCGTCGATGATTTGTTGGAGCGGGCTCGGCGGTATGTAACAGAACTGGAGACCCTTTTAAGGGTAAACACGTTTGTGTTTACTCAACTGGATAATGCACTGAAATTCATGCTCGTTGCAGAGTTTTTATGTCTGTGCCTGATGGAGTTTTCTGCGTTGTACTCCCTCATGGAAAGAAGGGAGAGGGCCGGCATGCAAGAATTAATAAGTAACATCTACATCAAAATACAGTCTCTTGGCAACAGGATGAATTGGCGACAACTTACCCCCGCGCGGCGCCGGCATATCCAGTTTCTCTACTCGTTGTTCGACAGGCTCTCAGAGGTCGACCCACCGACAGGGGCTTTTGAAGAGAGGCAGCGCTTGTCAAGAATGAAGGAGCTGCTTACGCTACAGGAGATGGCCTTGGGTCAGCTCGACTACGGGTTCTCCGCGCTGAGAGAGTGTGTTGAAAGCGGTAGAAAGCGAAGTGATGACCCAAAAGCTGGTGCTTCACCAGCCAAAGGTGCTGCTGCAGCTACTCAAGGTGCCGTTGCACCTCCCGACGTGCCTGAAGCCCCCGAAAGTGTTACAGTTCGTTCAGTTTTCATGGCAATAGAAAGAACCGCGCACAAGCGCAGGGACCAAAATCTTATGGATAAGCACTTGAGCGCTTGGATGCGGATGAAGCATTACGAAAAACCTCACTACAGCATTATGAGCACCCATCGTCTCCTAAAGGCAACGGGACAACCCATGCAAACCCATAAAGAACTCTTAGAAGACCTACAGGCAACTCCCTTAGGGTTGAGAGATGTATCCGTGCGGGCCACGTCCGGCACGGGAATCTACACAGACAAGACGACCGCCTCCTCCTCTGTTCAGGAGGAACCTTCCCAGGAAAAGAAGGAATCTCCTCAAGATAATCACGATTCTCGTGCCCTAGGGCCGCTGGAACGCCCATCCCAACACTCACCAACAGGGCCCGGCACTGAGGGACCAAGCCCCGCCGCAGCCTCTCCCGGCACCTCCACTGCTGCTGGTGGTGTTCCTGCAGCTCAGACTAATCAACCTGCTGTTGAGGCACCCAGTCACGGCGAAACAGTGCCTATCTATACAGCGCCCAATCGACCTCCACAGGTCTCGTCGCCTGCTGCGCCGGGGCATCTCCAAGGCTCTGCAGTGTCTGCTGCTGCCGAACCTGTTACTGTCCCATCAGCTGGCGTTCACTCTCCGCAAGCACTGTGGACCACTAATGCCTCAACTGCCGCTCCTGTCGGGAGAGTTTCCTCCCCCTCTTCGTCCGATGAAGCGTTACCCAGACCTCCGCCCAGTTCTTTCACAGCAGCTGTTTCTTCTGCAGCTGCTTACTCCCCACAATCGTTCACTCTGCGAACGCCAAGCACTGCTGCCCAACCTCCTTCTACTTCTCCTGCTTTTGATACACCACGGGCTTCAGTACCAACTGAACCCTTGCCAACGCCGTCGCCCAGCTCGTCCAGTGCAGCTGTTCCTTCTGCTGCAGCTCTCGCCCAGGAAGCCTTAACATTGAGCGCGCCAACTGCTGCTGCTCAGCCGGCTGTCTTCTCCGATCCTCATTTTGCACCGTGGGTGTCACCAAGCTCCCTTAGCATATGGGCTCCCTTGTCAGCCTCACATTGGTCTCCAGCAGTTTCTGCCCCCACTCAAGGTGGCATTGACAGCAGCCCACTCCCATC